CCCTTGCCTGCCAAAGTGCAAAAATTAAAAATGTAGCTCAAAATTTATTCTCAGGTGAAATAAGATCTAGTGCAGAACGGACAAAGCCACCAAATCACCTATGTAATTACAGGCCTGCTATAATTTTTTAACTGCACAGGATTGCCACATTATCAAATAGAAAACACAGGGCATCAAATAAAAGTAAAACAAAAGGAGCAACTGATTCACTGTGAAAACAAACAGTCAAGAGATGCAGAGAACAAACTTCTTCTAACACAAAACATGGTAAATATCGGTGAGACATTTCTCATGACTACAATAAAAATCTATAAACAGTTTTTTCTCCTCTAGAAATCTTCTATGATTGCTTAGCTTATTTTTCCTTTTAGGTACATCATCTCGAGTCCGGCAAAAGACGAAAGATACTAAAAAGTAAACCAATCTAGAGCTGTCTTCAAGGACGTAAAAGTATAGTGTATTTAGTATAAAGTCGGCAACGAAAACCAACTTCTCTGTAAAGCCAAACTTGTTTTTCCTAGCACCCCTATTATGGAGACAAATCATGATTTTCAAAAATATTCTCCTACCTTAAATATGGTTTCATGCAGGTCAAATTCTACCATAGTAAATCTCATCTTGAAAATTTAAAAGGACAAACTCACTTCTGGTGCATGTATTATAACTTCTTGACCATCCTCTCCTCCCAATGTGCACTCTGGCCTCCGAAATGTAAGTAGAGCAGCAAGAGCAGCAATATTGGCTGCATCAACAAGATTTCTATTCTCAAAGGAAAAAGTAAAGTCAACAACAGTGTATAAGCCTAGCTGAAGAAGAATATAAATCGTTATTTCGAGTTTAAAGGAGAATCCTAACAACTCACCCGCCGTTGTCTAAAATGTGGAGATCAACACGAAGGGACCAGACCCATTTCCCAGCAACAATACAAAGAGATTCTGTATCCACGGCCCTGCTTTCCCTGCAACACATTTTCATAGTTCAACAAAATTATTTCAAGCTTGGGCTATTTGTCATTCAATACAAGAAACATCATGAACTTAACTGCATTACTTAATTTGGGTAGATAATAGGATTTTGGTTGAATAAGTATTTTTATTAAACCATCGTTGGCTCAATTGTACCATCAACTCGTTAAAATTGACTTTCAAAAAAAAATCTTGAGATGCATATTCATCATTTGAGCAAAAGAAGTTTATACAATTGCAAAAGGCAGAACTGTCTAGAATACAGTTCCTCGTTGTCGAATTCTAGACAGTTGAACTGTCTAAAACTGGACTGTCTAGAATTTGACAGTTAAGACTGCCGAGTTCTAGACAGATCAAACTGGTTCATGGCATCTGGTCATCATCCATTACCAAAATGTGTAAATCCCATTCTAATCTCAACACAATATCCGTTATCCACACCAAATAAATCAAATTTCATATGCCCAAATAAAAACCAATCACCATTCACTAAATTATGCAGGAAGATTCAGTTCTCACCCTACCGTGTTAGATTGAGAAATTCACTACTCAAACGTGTGTTTTAGCTTTTCAACCACCTGGCTTCTTAGACAATCAAACCAACAATACTTCCTAGATCTTCCAAGAGTTTGTAATTTTTATATTCTTTTTAAGTGCACCGAGATGAAATCATGAAATCTCTTTTCAAATTTAATGACATTTTATATTCTAAATCTAAAAGTTATGGCACATAAAACAGGAAACTTCTCGAGCTATCGTACTTTAAATAGGAACTGGTCTCACCATGATTTGATTTCAAAATTTTAACAAATAATACATAAGTTCAAAACTCCTAGCAATATTTTTTTTATTCCAAGATGGTGTGTTCACCTTAATCCACGGTCAATTATGCGTCCCAATTCCACTGCAGATTCTGAAGGACGTCCCGCCTCAAATGAAGGATCGGCCATCGGAGAGAACTCAGTATATATCGCAAGAGTTCCTTCATTAGGCCGGTCCCGATAGGGTTGCACCAGTTGGCAAGTTACGAACCCCATTACATGAGTCTGGCCGAGCTGCACCTCTGATGACCCATCTTCCCTGCACACACTCCACAATTTCTTAAATGCATAAAACAGGACGGATCTCAGTTGAAATTTTGAAATTAGAAATAACTCGGTACAAAGTTGAATGACATTTTATATTGGACGGGTTTCAATTCAAATCATTTATGGCCTGTTTGATACCATGCCTTTTCCATGGAAAATGGAAAATATTTTCCATTTTCCATGTAAAAGCATGTTTGATTGTCAACATTCAACCTGGAATTCTTTTTCTGCGCCGCAATGTGACGCGCCTATTTTCCCTGCAATTGGTGAATCGGTTTTCCTTATGTTTTGGTGAGAATTTAATTTCCAGGTTCTCTTTTTTTTTTTGGTTTTTTTAAAAAAAAAAAAAAAGCAATGGTAAAAAATTTTAAACACAATGGTAAAAAAATTTATCACTTTTATTGACAATTTTCATGCAAAACAAAGCAAAACGAATGATATTCAGTATAGTAATTTTTGTAAAAAAAAAATTTATTTTTTTTATTTTTTGGCAAGTAGAACAAATTCTAAACTCAATGGTAGAAAACAATATCGACAATTTTCATGAAAAACGAAGTCAAACGGACACCAAACTTTCAACATTTTTCAGGTGAAAAATTATACCAATCAAACACAATTAATTACAATTCTCAGTCAAACAATTTCTAGGCAAATCAATTCCCAGTAAAACATTTTCTTTCCACCCATTTTCCACATTTGGAATCAAACAGATCCTTGATGTCACTGGAGAAAATGAGGCATAGATAATGTTCCCAGCAAACTTTAGCATATGTTAATTAAATTAAGCAAGAATGTTGAACACTACTAGAAAACACATGGAACCAAAAGTTAAAAGGAGCTCATCTTACAATTACAAGATACACAATTTGAGCCGAGAATACAGATGCCAGAATTTATGAAGATTACCATCATTAAACGAATAAATGCCAATACATTCTTGAAAAATACAAAGCCACAAAACTATTCATGCCTGCGAGAGGTGCCCGAAAAGCANATACAAAGCCACAAAACTATTCATGCCTGCGAGAGGTGCCCGAAAAGCAAGTAAACAACTTGAAAGAAAATAACAAAGTCGTCAAAAATTCTTACCTACCAAACCGTATTGTTATATTACGGTAATCAAAAGGCCGACGACCATCGATTCTAAGGTCTGAAAGTAAAGCTGTTTCGATGAACTTCTTCTCGTTTACGGTCATTCGCCATGTATTAGCCAATCTCTCCATTTACTTGATTCTGCAAATCACCCATGAAATTCTTTTAAGTATTGATCAACAAAACAAGAAAAATTACAATTAAAAAAAAAAGCTAATTCCGTTAACAAAAATACTTACAAGCATATATCACGGTTCAGTTCCTGTGCTTGGGTATGAAGAATGCGGGGATAGGGGGGAAATAGGGTTTTTAGGTTTTAGGTTTTTAAGCTAAATGGGCCGGTCAACCGGATGAACCGGTTCTAAATACTAATTACATAAATTTTTAATTTTTTTCGTCATTGTTTTATTTCGATGAACCATGTTACGTGCTATAGTGTCAGAATAATTAAATAATGGCTGACATAATATCACATGGTACTCTATCATTGTAATGTTTACCATACAGTTATTTTTTTCCATCAAATCACCTTCCGTCACCTACGATTAACCATTGCTTCTGGTATCATTCTTTTGGCAATGTACCTTATTTTGATATATTATACAACATAGTGCATGAAATTATCTCAATGTAATTTTTTTTTTTTTTTTGGAGAAATATATTTCCAATTTGGTACTCAATGCAGGCAAAATATTATATTTTTTTCTTATTTAATATTAGTTAGTTCATCTTACTAGTCATCTTTGCATTGTATGAACCTTATGACTATTGTTATATACAAGAACCTCACACCTGAAAATGTTATGTTGACAATAATATATTATATATTGATCCAATCTTTTTGTAGTGAAAGAATAATTTATTCTAAATATTAATTTCTACGGGTGTGATTTTAAATGTACACGTGAGTTTATGATTAATACTCTAGCTTGATATGAAGAAACGTCAAGTTTAAGAACGAATAATTCGAGGAGATACACTAGGAAATATAGTTTTGATACATGAGCTATATATCAAATTTCTTGTATTTCTTGTAACCTAAATTTGGTTTGATTGAACTCTTTTTGGGAAGTATATATGTATTGATAATTAGTTAATTACTAGTATTTGTGCTAGTCCACACTTCCAAGTCAATTGGCATATCAACTCAATGGCAATCCACGTTTGACTTGGATGCTCATCGGCCCCATATATTTTCTTCATTTCGGGCACTTTTTGACATGTGTTCACTATCCATTTATCTTTTAGTTCATTTAGAGTTTTATTCTCAAACAACCTGACTTGTACAGTGCTGATGGTACTTTATGTCGCGACAACTAAGCTCTAATCATCTGAGTGCTCTCGAGGCATATATACTATTAGCTTGTTTGGATTTCATTATAATCTCTTTATAAGTTTAAGTTCAATTCAAACATTAATTTTAATTACGCATTCACGATTATAATTAATTTATTATTATCTTCACATTTTGTGAAACACAAACAAGCTGTGTGTAAAAATGCAATCTAATAGTTGGGATAGGCTTGCTTATTAAAGTTGATAAATAATATTAGAAATAATTCTCCAAAAGTACACATTCACATAATTGCATGCACTATGTTGTATAATATATTAATAACTTTGTCAAAAGACAATTGTTCATAGTAGTCAATGAAGGTGGCTCTCCACCTTCATTGACAGCACAATGACAGCATAGATCAAACATCTATCTATTTCAACTAATGGCAATGTAATATGTGATATGACAGAATTTTGTTGTATACATGTAATTGATTTTAGCTGCAGTTTAATTTGAAAATTATATTCAACCTTTTGTTTTATAATTATATACTGAACATTATTAAAAACTTATTTTATTTTATTGAGTTGTATTATTAACTATATATTTTTTTAATTTTAATGGTTCTATTAGCTTCTCTTTCTTTGATTTTGCATGTATGATGATCACCATGCAAACAACGTTACACTTAGGGAGCGTTCGGCGCACCGTAGAAGAATTTATAAGGAATTTAGTATAAAAATATGTCAATCAATATTAAGTAGATGACATCATGATGATTAGATTGATAATAGTTTTAGAATTTTCGTAAAAAATAACGTCATTTAAATTTTCGTTAAAAATGATGTCATTTATAATATGCTCTCTTAGGTGGTCTAGTCCATCTCGAACCTACACATATTTTTGTACAGTTGATGGTACAATTTTCAAACACTGTCCTCTTTAGTTTTTGAATCATTTTTCACATTTTTTTTATCCACCTCGATTTCTCTGCAATCCGCTTGATATGTAATAGCATGAGCTTCATTCTTTAAAATTTATATTTATTTTTGAACCTTGCGTTCTCTGAAAAACCATTTTACTAAATATATTCTTAAATAATGGAACTTAAACAGGGGCTAAATCACTTTATCACAAATACGACAAGCTTTAACTCTACCATTTAATCATGATGATTATCAAACAATATAACATGCTTTGACATAAATGAGATTGTTATGAGACCAACTAAACCTTGCTTAGAAGTTCGAGGTGACAATGTAAAGTCTCAAAAGAATGCACAACATATTTGGCAACTAAGTTGCTATCTTATAAGCATCGGGATCCATGAAAATGCATGGATAGAGTATACCCCACACTTCATAAGAAAATAAGGATGAGAATATTATTATTAAGCATCGTGCATAGTATCAGTTTATGTGGGCCTCTACTTTCACTTAAACTGGTGCTAAATTCAATAATTTTTAGGATAATGATTTTTTATTTTATTTTTTGCTTATCTTTAGCCAGAAGCCACTTTGTGGGTCCTAGTACTTTTAAGTTTAGAGCTTATTTGCCAAATATTCTCTAATCTTGCTATAGATCTAACCCAATATTGCCTACAAGTTCTAAGTGGCAACCTAACATCTTAAAGATACGACTCACTTGTATTGCAACATGCAATAACTCGAAAGTTGCTATTCTTCGAATTCACCTCACAATAATCATTTTGCAAGTGTCAAATAATTTACTCCTTAAATTTGATACAGTTTGATTAATAGAACGTTAACGTTTGGTTGTTGACATACATTTTATTTTTAATTGAATAAAAGTTGACTTATACTTTTAACTTTTATTATAAAAAAAATTGTTAAATATGTTCAAAAACATTTTATAAAACGTGCCGAGGTATAACACAATTTTAATTAAAATTATTCTTTCAATACAATTATTGAAAATAAAACTAACAGTTATCATATGTTCTTTTGATCAAAATTCTCACATTTATTGTTGAAATATAGCTATTCAAAATTAACTATTTAACTATGTGCCTTACCTCAAGTGTAACTGTTGTAAAATGATCACTAGCCAAAAATAATGCACAAAAACATAAAGTGAAGTTAATACAAAGATTTATATCTTTTAATTTGAAAACTTATTATTCTTATGGTTTATTATATCGAATTTCAATTAATTAAATCTACATAATTCTTCTGAAACACAAGAATAATTCATTATAAATCAAGGGATAATATACATTCGAGTCTTGAAATGAAAAATCTAGTAAAAAAAGAAACGTAGTACAACATATATACTAGTGGGAAATAGTCGAGATGTTCTAGAGCTTGGCAATTAAATTGAAATCACATAATAAATAGATAGGAAGAGCTATATACCTACCAATTAATCACAGTATAAAGTCTCGAAGATTATTAAACAACACAATATGCAACCCAACATACATGAGCTCCTCGAGAAACAATCTTGATGTTGCTTAGAAATTCAAGGTGACAACCTAAAGATTTGAATGAGAATACACTTGCTAAGAACCAAGGTGACCTTGTCTGAAAGTTCGAGGTGACAACCTAACGTCTTTAAGGTGTGATTGACATATGTTGTAACATACAATAATTTAAAGGGGAATTATAAAAAATGGTTAATTACATGCTTGTCAATTAAAAAGTGTCTAATTTTAATAATTCTTGTAAAAATAGCTAAATTTGGTATCAAATTGTCTTTTATACTACATAATGAAAAATGGTTATGCTACGTGTACCTAATTTTTATACCAAATATTTTACACACCACTCACATTGGGAGGCGGGGACCACAAGCCCGGATTTTTAAATACACATGGGGCCCGCGCGCATTGTGAGAGGGGGGAAACCATTCGGTACCCTCACTCGGTACATTTAGACTAATTCAATGAAAAATGAAACAATTTTTTTTCTTTTCGATTTGTTGCAAATTTCTAGAAAAATAAGTAATTTTCATGATAAGCTACATTAATGCCAGGTAATATATAATGCGTTAATTTCCTTTCATTGTGTACTACGTAATGACCAATAATGTCAAGTAAAAATGAAAATGATGAAATAAAAAAACCATTGACTCAAAAAAATTTACATACTTCTGATTCATAAGAAATTCATATAATTTTGTTTCGGGAAATTTAATCTCATCTACAATTCTCGATAGAAGGTAAATTTTCTTCGAAATTTTATTTTTGTCGATAAGTTGTGTTTAGTAGTTGTTGTGATATATATGATGTAAATGGATTATTAGATTTTTTTAAACAATTAGTAGATATTTCTTGTAAGATTATTGGAACATTTTAAAATCAAATTCATATTTATTGTTTTATGTTTCTCAAACACGGTGTCACAGCTTACTTAAATAACTTTGATAAATGGATTTGCAATGGATGTCATGCATTGACAATGCTATTAATGGTGGAATAAATTCCTTGCAAAAATGATTGTTGAAGTTGAAGTTGAAGTTGAAGTTGAAGTATATGATAAATGCATATAGTGATGTGTATGATCAACAATCGTTCTCAACATTTTATAAATGTCGAGAATGACACTTCAAATGTAATTCTCTACATTTGAAACAATTTCAAGAATTATGTTACAAACTTAGCGAAACTACAGAACATTTTGTGTTTACCATTGACCATATTGCTTTACGGGTAGCATGTTTGTTTTAAGTATTCGTGTTAATTAATCTTATTTGCATTGATGACATGGAGATATGGAAAATGTTATGAGATTAATTGTCGTGCATGATGGTACATTCATCAACATAGAGGACGAGTGGAAGTGGTTTGGAAACCGAACAACATCAATTGTTATTCGAAGTGACATTAGATGTGAAGAGTTTGTCAATAAATTATTCGAAAAGCTTAATCTTGACAGAAAGAAAGGTCGATGAGCACGTGAAAATGTGGACGGTGAAGTGGTTACAAATACAACAGGCAAACGTGTAGGAATCCAGAATCATTAACTAACCCTGGCACTTGAATGTTTTCTGGATTCATGTTAACATCGAATTCATCATTCATGAATAATAAACTTTTGCATTTTTACATTATTTTCGTAGTTCATTTCAACACTTAGTAGTCATTTGAAGAACAATACAAAACGCAAATTTAGTACTATGATTTTAACATCATTGTATAGCCACATACTAAATTTCAAACTACGACAATTCGAAATCACATCAAGGAGTTCATAAATTGTCAAACTACATTTACTTTATCACTTTGTCAAAATAAATCATGACAATGATAGCGACAATGAGTTTCTTATTTGAAGTGGTCATAAAATAACGATGTACGAAGACATCTACAAGTCCTCAACAACGGACAAAGAACGTTCGTTGTCGGAGCTTATGATGATGACATCTCCCATGACATCCGGACTTGGTCCGACACTGTCAACCAACTTGTCGACGTACTGAATGCTAAGCAAAAGATGTTGTTCGTCCAGTCAATCTCTACTTGTTTTCATTTAACTTTTCATTTTATCTCGTCATTATTTTAAACTTCGATTAATTAATTTTCATTTGTTCTTGATATTTCATGAGATTCTTGACATTTAAAAATTTTCTATCAACGTTTGGTCCCGGTTTATCTCAACACTTGACATTTCATCTGTTTAGAACAAGATTTCGTTTCGAACATGAATGTTCTCTACATTTCGTGACATTCTTGACATTTGGTACCCGTAAAATCTCGACGCTTGACATTCACTTGTTAGGAACGACAACTCAACAATGATAAAATATATAATACAAGAACTACCAAAATAACACGACACCATATACCAACTATTATCAACAATAACATAACCGAATTGCATAATATGCTAATAATCAAACAACCAAACATTCATATAGATTTCAAGTTTACATCCAATCACCGAAGTGTATCATCAGCCAAAAACATTAAGGATGGTACACAAAATAACATTGTAAATATTTTTCCAAATATTCATACAAGGTTCTACTCCAACAACATTTTCGAGCATGTGTATAATGTCTTCATGCTTGCACGTGGCATACTGAGCCTCAAGGAGCGAGGTCTGCATGGAGGTAGAGCATCAACTGGGACATCATCATCCAATGGATTGTCAATGGAGACATGAACTGGTGTTGCAATGTGTGGTGCCTCTCTCACACTTTCAACAGCATCTTGACCCAAACTAAGAACATGGCATAATCTAAACTCGGCAGTTTACAAATTATCTAACATACGTTGTTAGCATGGGCAAGCTGAAGAAACAATAGTCCAATAACATTTCAAACTTGGAGCATTTTTGGCTTCCTTCCACTGACAATGCTATATAGATACACAGCTCCAGTATTTGCAAGCTACTATAGCAAAACAATATGAAAGATTTAACTAGTTCACTTCATCACAAAACGTTCACATAAACTGCCACATGTGAGTTTTTCAAACCAAAGAGACACGAAAGATTTAGGAGTTAACGAAGTCCAATTTTTTGGGTATTGAAACAATATGTTGCTCAATATGGCAGCTCTTGGATTGATATTTATACTTTTTGAAATATGTAGTGTAAATAATGTGTCAAAATCTTATTCGTCAGCAATTTTTAATTATATACAAAAGTTTATATTTAGCGTGGAATTGGAAACTGTTAACAAGGGTACTTCGGTCTAAATTATTGTAAAATAGATATTGAACAAATTTTGGACATTTTTGCAAATGATCATGTGAAAATGGCTATTTCTTGCAATTTCCTCTAAATTAATTTAAATCTTACTTGTTAAGCACTAGGTTGCTACTGTCCCACTATGTAACCAATATGACATTGCCTAGAAGTTTGAGGTGACAATCTAAAGTTTCGAAGGACTGAACTTGCTACAAAACCAGCTTGATCTTACGTCAAAGTTCGAGTTGACTACAACATCTTAAGGTATGATTGACAATGTTATAACTTGCAATAACTTTGATAATAATATATTAATGCATTAGGATGATGATATTATCCTTTCACAAAACCAACTTGTCCTTGCATAGAAGTCCGAGATGATAATTTAACCAGCTTGACCTCAACTAAAAGTTCGATGCGAGAATCTAACGTCTTAAAGTAAGACTCACACCTATTACAACATGCAATAATAAAATACTAACGCGTTAACGCATTTGGTTGCTACACTCCCATCGCGAAACCAGCTTGACATGGCCTAGAGGTTCAAGAAGAAAACTTAAAGTCCTAAAGGAACGATCTTGTTACAAAACCAATTTGATCTCGCCTATAAATTCGAAGTGACAATCAAACATTTAAAGGTACGACTGACATATATTATAACGTGCAACAAACAAAATACTAACATGTCAATTCATTAGGTTGCTATTTTGTCCAAACCCATTTAACATCAACTAAAACAGATCATCTTGTAGATTTCAAAGCTCTAAATTCAGTACGAAGTAAATTCAAGCATTACTATAAAGTTGATAAACAAGCGAGAAATCTAAACTTTTGTTTTTATTACTATTCAATCTAATGTACCAAACACATATTACAATACTATTCAATAAAATAATATAATCGAATTTCTTCTATTCTTTAATCGTGTTTAGTTCAACATAGTAGCGAAAATGGCACAAATTTTGTTACGTTTTAGATTTGGGGTATAATTATGTGCATTGGCCAAAACAGGGAACACCTGAATAACTTTCCCCTTTGAACCAGGCCAGAATTTAGACTCCCACTCCTGCTTGACGCACAATTTTGAGGAAATAATACATTTTAAATAGTGACGTAATGGAATATATGTGGTTAAAAAAAAAAATTTGAATTTGCATGTAATATTATTTTATTGAATATTATGTGGTTAAAAATGAGTATTAAAAGAATGTATTTTTTAAAAAATACTTATCAAACGGGGCCTTAGCATCGTTTTGTCCATATGTATAAAGACAATCCCAATAGGCCAATACATATAGGAGAGAGAAAAGGACTCTGTATAAACTATACATATACAGAGAGAGAGAGATACACAGAGAAGAAAGCTTTTACTCTCTCCCCAAAGCTGCAGGTTGCACTGGTACCAAAAGTTGTGGTTTCAAGTTTAAAGAGGCCTCTGGCTCTCTGTATTGTACTGTACTTCATCACCATCAAAGCAAATATTTATTGTTATTGTTTTTGTTTTTACTTCACCACCTCCTTCCCCACCAACCGCCACCTCCACCCCTTTGACCACCGCCTCTGCAAGTCCTATCCCATCAGTCTTGAAGGGAGGGAAAGAAAAAAGATGCCCAAAAATATAAAAGGAAAATTGAAAAACATACCAAAATCGAGATTTTTGCCTACTCTACTCTCTCTTTCTAAACACACACACTCCCCTTCATATGGCATACAATGATTACTCGAGTATAAGCACGAGTCCGTCATTACCTTTTATAACATGGTTAAATCTTAGCCACCCTCTTCCTAACAGTCCCCAAAAATAACAAAAAACTCATCTTTCCCCTCTAATTTAATATCTTTGAAAAGCCTTCTAGTCTTTCTAGAGGGCTCTCCTTAAAACCCTACACCTTCCCCGTTGTGCATCTCATTTTTCCCTCTTTTTCGAGAGGGAAAAAAGAAAATCCAAGAAAAGCCCTTTGTAGGAAAAAGTAAGAAAAATACAGAACTCATGGATACTTATGAAGCTACTAAAATAGTGATGTCTAGGATCCAAAGTATGGATCCAGAAAACGCTTCAAAAATCATGGGTTATATACTGATACAAGACCAAGGGGAGAAGGAGATTTTGAGATTAGCTTTTGGCCCTGAAGCACTTTTGCTATCTTGCATCAACCAAGCAAAGGCCTGTTTGGGGCTTCCTTCAAATAGCCCTTCTTCTAACCCTTCAACTCCCTTGTCAGATCCCATGAGGCCTAACAACCCATTTCCTCAAAATAAGCCACGGATTTTGATTCCCAACTATGGGTTACATCCGAGTAACCCTTCTTCACCTGCTGCAGGTTTCTCAAGAAATAGCCCAAGACCCATTTCTTATGCTGCTGTTGTCAATGGTTCCATTGGTACTAATGATAATGAAAATAGTGGTTCAGGGTCCTCAAGTTTGCCTTTTTATGGTGGAAATGATTTTCCTGATGAGTCTGTTGGGGAAATGCATCATCAAGTTCAAGAGTTTTCATTTATTGATGATTCCATGGTGGATCCAATAATTAGTCCCAGTGGGAGGAGTGATTCTCTGGGTTTCCCTTTTGGTGACGGCATTCCTTCACCTCACCCACATCCATTTCATAGAAGGAGTTGTTCAGTTAATGATGCCGCTCTTCTTTCTGGTTTTGATGATGGAAATGGTAGGGGTGGCTGGAGGCCTTGCATGTACTTTGCTAGAGGCTTTTGCAAAAATGACAATAGGTGCAAATTCTTGCATGCTGGTTTTGGCAGTGAAGGAATTGAGGTGGGATCCCCAAGCAAGATGGATTCAGGGCCATTTGATGAGTTCTTGAGAATGAAGGCCCTTCAACAGCAGCAGAGGTTTGCACTCTCGCCTCCTGGGAGTCACCACCCACTTGCTTATATGAAATGCCCCAACTTCTTGAATGAACATCAAAGGTAAATTCAATGGAAATTACCCCCTTTCATTTATCTTTAAGGAAAATCACTTTTTGATTTTGACTGCTGCTTTGTGATTCTGGGTATTTATTGGTTTTGAATTCCTGCTGGTGCATTGTGTAAGAGTGTTGCAATTCGTATGTTTATTATGGTTCTGAGTTGGGCTTTCATTCTGTTTTGGAAATTTTAATTGTGTGGAGAATTTTGGTAATTTTAATGCATTCTTGTGCTTATAAACCGTTTACCCAATTATGGTGTACTCCTGTTTAGCACCATTGCAATAAACAAGTGCTCCTTTTAGTGTTTAGAAGCCTAGAAGAATGAGAACCTTTCCTAATTACAGTTGTATATTGCTGTCAAATTTTCGTGATTGGGATAAACTTTTGATGTTGCTTTTTTGAGTTCGACTGGTTCTTGTGATCTCTTACAATAAGCTGCATTGTAGATCTGCTGCTGCTGCGCTGGTTATGGGTGAAGAACGCCATAAATTTGGCCGTTATCAACCTGAGAGGAATGATTTGTCAGCAATGGGATTTGTTGGAAATGCAAATTCAAGCGCCAGACAGATTTACTTGACATTTCCAGCTGATAGTACATTTAAGGAAGAGGATGTTTCCAATTACTTCAGGTAAGTGGTTCTTGTTTTGTTGAGATCGAGATTTCTTGAAATTGCAAGCAAATTGTGTACTGACTACGCATCTATAGTATGTATGGACCGGTGCAGGATGTAAGAATTCCATATCAGCAGAAAAGAATGTTCGGATTTGTTACATTTCTCTACCCGGAGACTGTGAAGCTCATTTTGGCTAAAGGGAACCCCCATTTTGTGTGTGACTCCCGAGTGCTCGTGAAACCTTACAAGGAGAAGGGAAAAGTTCTAGAAAAGTAAATTTTCATTTTATCCTTTCTGCTTTAATATTTGTTTGCATTGATTTACCCGGTAATGATATCCTATTGTTAATTAACAATTTGTAGGAAACAGCAGCAACAAATGGAAAGAGGAGAGTTTTCTACTTGTTTAAGCCCGTCCGGACTTGATTCCCGGGAGCAATTTGATGCCCCCTTTGGTAAGCATTCAAGTCAGGCTTCTTATTTGTCCCCAAGTAAATGCGTCTATTAACTGATTATCCTTTGGTAATTCAACTTAGGGTCGAGAATGTTTTACAATGCACAAGAGATGATGCTCCAGAGAAAATTGGAGCAGGAGGCGGAATTACAGCATGCTATTGATCTTCAAGGCAGAAGGATGATGAACATGCAACTGATGGACCTGAAAAATCAGCATCACAATATTCATTTCCTGTCGAACCTGTCGGCCAGCGCTCCAATTGGCTCCCCGATACAGTCTCAGTTACAAATGAACCAAAATCTCATTCTTCAATCTGATGATGCTAATCAAGAAGTTTCAGAAGGTTAGCTGATTGAAATATTTATATTTTGTATTAGGATTTGGCTCTCAAGATTTTTATCCAAAGATGCACTATATGTATTATGATTGAAGTTTATTTGGTAAGAAGTGACCATTTCTCGACTTCTTGTTTCAGAAATTAATGGTATCCAGGAAGCAGCTAAATTTCCATCCGTTGTAGCTGACGCTGAGGAGGAAGCAACCACATTTGGCAATAACAGTGCAAATGCCAATAAGGAGGATCAAACCAATACCGAAGATGCTGATCTTCTTGAAAGGTACGTACTGAAAATCAATGTTTTATTAGGTGACATCCTTTCTAGGAATATGTATGAAGATAGATTGGAGAAGGTGCTCTGATGTAATAATTACACTAAGCCATGCTCCATCTAAGATAACTTAGCCTTTGCTTACTATTATTTCATACTAATGGTATGACCTTGTGTTTGTCAGCTTGGAGCACATCCTCCCCGAAAATCTCTTTGCCTCTCCTACAAAACTAGCTGCTGAACAACAGTCGTTTTTTGCCTGTGGTTCAGCTGATACAAATGACGGTATACCCGTAACTACATCGTCCACTAACAACAGCCCCTTGCTGCCCAACTCTTCTGCTCTGAACATGGCTTCTCTTAAATCGTATTACTTCCAAATGCCAAGGTGTCACCCTTTTTTACTGTTCACTTTTGTTCCTTAATTTCACTGCTTGAAGAACTTAAAATCTAGTACTGTTATTGACCGCCAGGTTTTCGTCTGGGCGAGAAGCCATTGAAATGTAGGTGCTAGAGCTGAGCATGGCTGGCAAGGAGGGATTATTATAGCTTGGTAAGAACAACTTTCTTGAACTTCTATTCCACTATGAACAATGAACTAAACTAAAGGCTCGTTCCCAGAAATTTTGGAGTCGGGTCGGCTGAACTATCATACAAATTTCATACTATTCTTCTTTTTGATGTTAACTTTATGAATCTGTTTATGCAGGAAAAGTATGAGTAGCATTTACAAAGAAGTAACATGTCCATTAGCTGTATAGCCAAACCATACAACAGAAGAAAGATCAGTAAGATCTCTTCAAGACTGTTGTCATCATCAATACCATACTAGCATATTATTTAAAACAATACATAGTGCATAGGTAAAGGACACATGAACTAATTATGAGAGTAGGGTCTCTCTTTGTTCATTTTGTACCCGCTCTGTAGTTGTGTGCTGGAACACACTGGACAATTAGCTTATTTACAAAAAAGGTGGTATCAGTAACTCACTCTTTGTCATATAATGGTAATTTTTTCTTTTTCTCTTTTGCCGAGTTTAGTACTCGACCAAATCAGCTTATTTCTTTCTTAATAGTCGAGAACTGTCTGCTATTAAGGGAGATTCATGTACATTAACAGCAACCCTGGAACGGTCAAATGGAAGCTAGAACAGCAGTAAGTGTAACAACTAGGTTGATTCAGAGAGTCAAAAAGTGGACGTGGTAAAGCTGGGAATTTGTCACTTTTATGCAGTTTAATTGTTATATGATGCTGTACAGGCTTCTATGATCCATTGAATCATTACATGAAGAAAAACAGTGAAAAGTGAGATGGCTCAGAAAGAAGCAAATGGAGAAAGAAAATTAAAATAACAACATGGCTCAGAAAGAAGCACAAGGAGAGAGAATTAAAATAACAACCATGCTACATGTATACTTTCTTTTACACCTTCATTTAAACTATTCCATGCGACAAGATCTAGAGACTTGATTTTCAACTCACCCATCACATCACTGCATATATTTTTTCCATGTAGGGAGGATGTGTACATTTAGCTTAATTCTTAAAAAAATAGTAAAGTAAGAAGAGTATTCTTTTATGCCATTAAAGTATGAGACTTTTTTGCCTTGGGGTGGGTGGTGGAGTGGGTTAAGGGCCACATAGGCCAATACTCACATGGGGACTGACACTGGTTGAATGGTATCAGGTTACCAATAAAACTCTGCTCTCACTTTCTTGCCTTTTGACTTGTTCAAGATTTAAATATTGGATTGTTTGGCCCTTTTTTTTGTGGGTTCTTGTGCCCTGCTTTTTGATAATTACTTAATTTACTTTGCTCGTGGGATTTCTTTTGCTTCTTGCCCTCAAACCCAGTATTAATTTTTTCTTTTTACCAACATTATGGATTTTTGAGGTGATTTTGGATGCATGCAGCTTCCATAATGAGTGTAATATGATAAAAATGCACGGAGTTGCTTATTTTTGGAACTTTTTGAATTACTTGTAATCAATTTTTAATCTTCTTGTGTCTCTGTGTCGAGATTACTCGTCCAGATTTAGATATCATGTCGATTCACCCAATGAAGCTAAAAAATATGTAAAAGTATTTTTTATTGGGAGAATGAAGTAAAAATCTACAGTGTTTTTTATTGGGAGAATTAAGTAAAAATCTACACAAAAGGTTAGGTGCCGTTCTCTTTGTATTTCAGTTTTCTGTTTTGAGTTTTGAATTCGTTTTGTGTTGTGTTTTTTGAGTGTCTGTTTTGAATTTGCTAAAAACGTGTTCTGTTTGTTGTTTTGGAAAACTATTGCTGAAAATATAAAACTAGAAAACACGTTTACTTTGAAATTTTGAGAATTTTTTTTAAATAAAATTTTATTCCAAAAATCTGATAATTCATTAAATTAAGAGTTTAATGTTAATTTAGTATTAAATAATAATGATAATTTTTATAGTATTCCAATACCAGATTGTGCTTAAGAGATAAAATTAGGTGATCAATCGAACAAAACGGTCTGGATGAATAACAATATTCGATTAGAGTTTACTTTTTACTTTAAAGTTTAGCCAAAACGGTAATTCAAACCATTTGTAACTTTTTACTTTAAAGTTTAGCCAAACACATTGAAATAAGTAAACGTGAATCTTCATTAGACAAGGATTAATAATTTCTTCACTTAACTCGTATAGAGAACGAAATGTTGTAAGTGGGCAACAAAACTGATTTCTTATCTAAATTAGATCATCTGGAGTTATACTTAAAATAAGGTTATTCATTCAAGTTTACTAAGATCATGTACACAACATACAATTGAACAGTATGCCATTTATCAAAGGTGCGAAAATAGTACAACAATTGACTTGATTATGAACTAGCAACTTAATTATATACATGTACAAACGATACAGACAAAAAGTCAAATGGATTTCTAATTAGATAGTGATGAAACGATCCACTTGAAGGCGGCAAAAATAGATACTTTCATCTTATTCGATATCAAAATTGGCTTTCGGGCTCGAGTAGTGCAATCAAAACGTGGTTACAAGACCCATACCCAACTCTTCGGCAAGTTCATCCCACATTGGAAGGAGTGTCAATACTACGAGGATAATTGCCGTTGTAAAAATCGTCTTTCATCAAGTGCCAACTTCTGTTACGTCGTTCAAACATGGTTTCTCGAGAGTCCTCTGCATATGGTACACAAAATAGTTATAACACTTATCTGTCCAAAATCAAAATCACAACTTCAGTGCCATTTTTATTTTCTTCATTTCATGTTGTGCTTCTAAAGGTTTGCTTACCTGACATATAAGCACATATAATCCCCAAGGAAGCGATAAAGGCCCACCGAGCTGACAGTAACAAACAGGAAACCTTTAGCAATATAATCGTTTCTGAACAAGTAAATCGAAGGAAGGTAAATCCTTAACAGGGAAGTTCAAAACAAAGCTTCTGGCAAAGTGCCCAGCAACGATAGTATTGACATTTGGAACCCATCCACCCCAACTATATATTTAATGGAAGCTTTAGTAGTAGAAGAGATATCTTTCAATATATTGTGTTCTTATCTACCACAACCATAAAACCATATATTTAATATTCAAGATATACTAAAATGAAAAACGAATTTAAAAAATGATAGACCAATTGAAGACAAATCATACCACTCCTAATCCCAGAAAGCTACTCAGACAGCTACTCAGACATGAAATGAAGAAAACTATATGTTTGACGGTGTGCAGGACAATCATATGATCCAATTCGATCAACAATGAAACTATAGATTCAATGGTGAGCGCGATGAAAGTAGGGCCATAAAATATTTGGCGTCTTATGAGATGCCCTTCTCAGCATGTTCTCAGAACACTTCAACTCAATTTACTAACTATTTAGTGTGAAATTTGTAGGATGGATAGATCCATTCACAAATTGTTTACCGACGTAGACTAGGACATCAGTAATACAACTCAGGAGAAATCATGCAAATTAACAGAATCATTCTTTTACGACAATCTACTTTGCAATAACAATTAACAGAATCATTCTTTCAGGCCTTGGATTTTGTTATTAGTGAAGCAAAGAAGTACAAGATAAGGCTCATATTAGCCCTGGTTGATAACTGGAAAGCATATGGTGGCAAATCACAGAATGTCAAATGGGGTAAAGCTGCTGGCCTCAATTTGACTTCTGATGATGATTTCTTCTCGCATCCAACTCTCCAAAGCTACTACAAAGCCGATGTTAAGGTAAGTTACCTGAATTAATATGGCCCTTTTGTAATAATAACTCCAAGTTTTGAAATTTAATGTTTTTTGGCTCCTTTAGATGGTGCTAAACAGAGTCAATACTTTCACAAACATAACCTACAAGGATGATCCTACTATTTTTGCTTGGGAACTGATGAATGAGCCATAGTGTGGATCAGATCCCTCCGGCAATAAATTGCAGGTTCGGTTTCTCATTAGAGTTAAAAGAAAATTTAAGACATATATCTAACAAATCCTGA